GCCGCCGCCGGGCAAGCAGGCGGAGCGCAGCGCCAGGGGAGGGGGAGCGAGCGGCGAGCCGCCGTGGCTTGCCTGGCGGCGGCGGCGGCAGCAGCAGCTGCTTCGAGACGCTGACTCGAGTATAAGCCGAGGGGGGCATTTTTCAGCCCCAAAAATGGGCTGAAAAACTCGGCTTATACTCGAGTATATACGGTAAGTAAATGAAGACTATATATAGGCCATAAATAAAAAAGAGTTCCTCCTAGAATCTTCCTTACAAGTTTCATCTCTCTCTTTTTCTCTCTCACACACACACACAAACACACATGTTAAGTGTGGCCATACTAAAGCATTGTTCTATTCTTGTGAAAGGGAAAAGCTAAAGAGTAGATGCAGGTTTATTTTGATGGGGTTGTAACTAATATAAATGTAGCAACATTTCAAAACACAAGGTTTATTCACATAGTTCACATAGCTGTTTTCTTCCTGCTCTCTGTTCATTTCAGTATGTGGCAGTACCTGTCAGACCTTATATTGGCTCAGGCGTTAAGCAGAATCAAGCTTGATTAGTTCTGGGGTGAGAAGAGAATACCAGGGTTGTCAACTAGACTTGGAAGTTAAAAGGAAAAAAAATCGTAGAAGAAGCAGGGACAATTGTTGCCAAGAAAACAACATGGATGTGTCCAAATAACTCCAGGAGTTGAGTTCAGTTGAAGAGATATATTTTTTCTACCATGTATTCATCTAGTTTGAAGTTATATTTATGACAGCGGCCACTGCAATAGCATGTGATAGTGAGTTTTGCACATTTTATGTTTAATCAGTTACTGGACAATTTGTGTAAATAACCATTTTTATGTCCACTTAAGAGTCTGAATGGCTTGAAGGAGGATAAGAGTCATATAAGTCATCAACCACAACATTAACAACATTGTTATTATTATTTTTCTTAGTCTTTATTAATCTTCTGGCCTCCAGCTGTATGCTAAAAACTTTCAATAACATGCAAGAGATTTGCTCCAATGTTTTTCAAATTAAAAATTTAAACATTATCAAAATGAAAGTTTAAAATGTATCAAGATTTTAATCATTTATTCAGTCATTTCCCCTAATTAACATATTTAAAATTACAATTTTTAGACAATAACTTTTGGAAATTTTTTAGAAACTTCATTCCAACTTTTGGGGGCAACTAGTACCACAATCTGTGCATCTCTGTATTAATGCCTCTGCCAGTCCTTGTTCCAGGTCTACTTTATTTCTTTTTAGTACAATGGAAGAGGCCCTAATATTTAGTAATATTTAGCCAGACCATTGGCTATATATAATTTCCTTTCTTTCTTTTTTATGCTTTTAGAGCACCACTGGTCCCTGGGTTTTGTTTTCTAACAAGCAGCTGATGCCAAGCTGTGTCCTATTTATTGCTTCTTTCTGATGACAGGCAGCACATTTGGCTCAGGACCTGACCTGTGGCAGTTGTGCCCAGTTGACAGCTTGTCTATTTTCAGTGTCAGAAATTAGAAATAGCTTATTTGGCAGATTTCATGTTCTACTATTCTTTGCTGTGATTTGTTTCCTCCTCCAAGAGTAGCAAATGGCTTTATAGCTATATCTGTGCTCCAGACACCCGGGCTCAGCTGAAACTAGCAAGCTCTCCAGACCTCTATTAATTAGTCTAGTCTTGAATTTGAATGTAATCTTATGGTGGACTGTTAATTTGTACTAGATCACTGTGCCTCAAAATATGTCCACTGGATTCTATTATTCTACCATTATATTTCAGAACTCATTTAAATCAGATCAGTTTGGAGGACTTTGGGGAGCCTAAATTAACAATGAAGGGAAAGGGAAAAAAATGTTGTTTCAAATCAATGAAGTTTCTGGAGCTTGAGTTTTCCTATTGCTGGTGCTGTTCTTATTCATAAAATCACTATAATTACAATTAGTACATATGGAGCTTTACAAAAACTAGAATGGAACTCTGCTTTTAATATGAAGTAAGTACAAGGCAAATGGCAGAAGCAGAAAGATCAAATAAGGGGAGATAATGGATCTGATTAACTATAGATGTGGCTGGGAATTTAAATTGGGTATCCAGTGATATCTTAATGAGGCTAAAAATATCCAAAGACATTATTTCCATACCTGGACCTTCTTCAACATCATGTTTTCCTAAACTTACTGCAAGGTGTAGACCTTTCCAGAGCTCTGCAGAATCTGGTTAATATTTTTGATGAATTTATGGGATATAGTAGGAAGGGTGTAGTTTTCTATATATTTCTTCATTAAACTCATCTCGTCCTTCCATTTATTGAACATCTAGCACAGTGGTTCTCAACCTGTGGGTCGGGACCCCATTTGGGGTCGATCGACCATTTCATGGGGGTCGCCAAGCAAGGCTGTCCGCCATTTTTTTTGTCCGCCATTTTTTCCCCTTTTCCAGCGGGTGCCTTACCTCCCTTGGGCTGGGCCAGCTGGTGGTTGGCCTGCTCCGTCTCTGCCGCTTGCCAGCTACACCTCGGCTGGCGCAGGGGGCAGAACCACGCATGCGCGGCGCTCCCGGGCAGGGAAAGTCCTCGACTTACGACCGGTTGGGTAGTCCTCTACTTACGACCGGTTTAGTCCTCGACTTATGACCGGTTTAGTCCTCGACTTATGACCGGTTTAGTCCTCGACTTACGACCGGTTGGGGTCGTGGCATTAAAAAGGTTGAGAACCACTGATCTAGCATGATTATAGTAATACACACTAAAAAATGAAACATTCATAGTATTAAGACAGGAGTGTGGAATTTGTAGCTCCAAGATATTCCTGGACTTCAAGAACTCTTCACTGCCTCAACCAGAATCATAAACTTTGCCCAGTCCTCATTTCTTAATCACTTTTGGAACTAATTAATTTATAGCTAAAGAGATTTTTTTTTCTTTGTGGCAGGATAATATTCCACTTGGTGGGTTATCATTTTTTCTGGATTACTAAGGACTAAAGAGAAAAAAGTTTTAAAGACTTATAAGAACTTCTGGCAAAAAGATTAATAAGGAGATGATGTAAGAAAGTTTAAAATGGATGAAGGGGACAGTGATTGTGTATTTTGCAGTGAAAATGCTTTTGAATGCTATAAAGGAAATTAGAAGCCACTTTGTTTCTTTTTCTTTCTTTGCTTTTGCACTTTTACCTCTTAATTCCATATTTTTTCATTTACTTTATATTTTACTTTATTGTATCTCCCATCTGGACCTACGAGAGTCTAAAAGCCCTCTTTGTCCCTCTTTCCATTAGGCCTCCCCAAATCTAACCACACAGCAAGAAGCAGAGCGCCAGACCATCCAGTCATTGCGCCAGGGAGGTGCCTTGACAAGCAAGTTCCTCAGCATGTCGTCTATTCCCAGTTGCCTTCTGGGGGTTGCTCTTGAGGGAGAGACCAATAATCACGGGCACGCTTCCTTGCTTCAACATGTCCTGCTTCTGGAACAGGCTCGGCAACAAAATACACTAATTGCTGGTGAGCAGGTCAAGATGTGATTTAGCATAGTGAGTGTGCCCACAAGGGTTGGGCATGGCATAGAAAATGTAGTACTCTACCATTGTTGCTTGGAAGCAGCTGAGAAACAAGAAGAAATAGAGTAGCTGGTACACAACTGTATAACATTCAATCGAAATCAGTAACATTTTTTATCCTGCCTTAATTTTTTATAAGTAACTCAAGATGATGAACATTCCTAATACTCCTTCCTCCTCCTATTTTCTTCACAATAACAACCCTGTGAGGTTAGTTAGGCTAAGAGAGAATCTGAACGAATGGCCCAAAGTCACCCAGCTGGCTTTCATACATAAGGGAGAACTAGAGTTTATAGTCTCCCTCTTTTAGCCTGGTGCCTTTACCACTAGACCTAACTGTCTGTCATTATCCTAATCTATCTTGGGCAATGCTGATAATTAACTAAATGTGTATCCAAGATGACTGCTTAGCTGCCAGAGGCAGCTCACTTATGAGGTATTTTATTCCTTTTTATTGGTTGTTCTCAGCAAAAGGGTACTACATAATTCTTCTGAAGCAGAATCATTTTAATGGGCTGCTGGTCAAAATGAGTAATTTCTGCTAAAGAGTGAAATCGGGAATCAAACATTTAAAGTGATTATTTCTGGCAAGAGATCAAAACTGCACAAAGAGGACAGGAAATAGAACAAATGTACTCCTCTGAATACCTGGAATATATTTCAGAAACAAAGTACTTCAGGGTACCACAATCAGCACATTAACATAGCAATGTCTAATATAATACAATCAAGATTTTTTTCACCAAGGGCCTGCAGTCGATGTAGCCCTATTGTTGAAGGGCTGAGGTCTGGAGAACAAGCAATCACAAGGTTTTTGAAAGTCTGAAAAAGAAAGTTGTCAGCAGAATCCTTTTTCTGAGGATTGCTACACCACTATAAAGGAAACAGCTTTATCATTGAGTATTAATGATATTCCATTTAATGATATTAAAAGTCACTGCAGATGGCAACTGCAGCTATGAAATTAAAAGACACTTGCTCCTTGGGAGGAAAGCTATGACAAACCTAGACAATATATTAAAAAGCAGAGACATCACCTTGCCAACAAAGGTCCATATAGTCAAAGCTATGGTTTTCCCAGTAGTAATGTATGGCTGTGAGAGTTGGACCATAAGGAAGGCTGAGCGCTGAAGTATTGTGGTGTTGGAGAAGACTCTAGAGAGTCTCTTGGACTGCAAAGAGATCAAATTAGTCAACCCTAAAGGAACCAATCCTAAGTGTCCTTTGAAGGATTGATACTAAATTGAAGCTCAAATACTTTGGCCCCAAATGAGAAGAGAGGACTAATTGGAAAAGACCGAGCCTGAATCTGCGGAGGAAAATGAGCGGGACCCTATGGAGGTCGAGGGAGAGGTGTCTGTGGTTTCAGAGGAATGTGGGGAAGAGCAGGCAGAGGCAGGCTAGGGCCCTTTAGGAGTGGGACAGGAGGAACAGGAGAGAGAGAGTTCAAGTATGAGGAAGGGCCACCCCCACTGATCCTAGAGCATGGAGAGTGGAGAGAAGGAGGGAACAACGCAGGCAGGCTCAACTACTTGGGAGGAGAGCCTTCCGCCCCTCTCCACAAGACACACCTGGACAATGAGATTTAAGGCGACACTGTGGGGAGAACAAATGCTGATTCCTTGGAGTTTTGTGTATGTTGTTGCTGATCTCTTGTTCTGTGACTTCTGTTTGGAAACCCGGACACTGACCATTGGACTGGCTGACAACATTGCTTGGGTGTTTAAAGAACTCGGACTGTATTTTAGCTCCCCTACTGAAACTGCTCAGGCAAGCGTGAGACTCGTTAGATTCAGGATCTATGTGTCATTCTTTCTTATCTCCATGGCCTTGAATAAATTCCTCTCCTAATTAGGCTGTATGTGAAACTACTTGCAGCCAGAGGTATGTGTGTGTCTTCCTTTGTTTGGAGGCTTGCCAGAAACATGGGAGCATTTGGGGAAAATTTGGAGCAATTAAAGGGTGGTTTGAATTTCCAGCTGACTGCGTTGCCTCTGTGCTGTGCCCTGGGTCATCACAGGTTGCTATGAAATCACGATGAGCTGGATACGACTTTGTGACTGAACAGCAATAACAGATTAATGATACTCAATACCAATTCAAGTAATCAGTATTGCCATACTTAGAAAAACTGCTTCAAATGCAGAACACAGTTTATCTACTTTATATTATCAGGAAGAATTGTTGAAATCAGGAAGATGGACACAATTTAATCAGTCAAGAGTAGATCTGTTTTTCATTAGGACTGCGTTGAACAGAGAACCCAGATTCAACCAAAAAAGTCAGTTTTATGATTATGAGTTTGCAATTGACTGCAAATTATCAGCCAGTCACATATTTTCAGATAGTATATTACATTACACACCAATTATGATAACCACCCTATCCGAAAATCCTAACTTTCTTGTTGTAGGGAGCATTTATTGATTTGGGATTCCATCTCATGCCTACAGCTCTCCCAGAAAGCAGGTATTCTTACCTTCCCTAGTTTTAACCATGAATGTATTTGTGGTAATGGAATGATCAAAGATCAGGTTATTTGTCTTCCTACCAAATATATGTTAATCTAAGAAGGACCTTTTTGTCCTCTCTTATCCAGCAATGAAACACTTCACACATACTGAAATAGCAATAAAGATTTTGATGGATAAAAGCTTTCAATACAGACCAGATTGCAAAATTTGCGGTAGCATCCAAAAAAGTGCAAGCAACTTTTTCCCCCTGGAATTGCAATTGATTGCAAAGGGGATGAACGTGCGCAACACTTTTGTGCTTTGAAAACTACTTTTAATTTAAAATTAATAAAAACAAGAAGTCGGTACATTCTTAGACTTTATTTTATGTATTTGATCACCAAGACCTGTGGCTAAAAGCAAATTAACTTTTGTCTTTCATCTTACTATATTTTTTTCTCGTATAGAAGCCTCTGTTGGGTTAGTGGCAGTGTTAGGTAGTCTTTATAATGTATCTTTGGTATAATTTTTCTCTCTTCAAAATCAGGTCTGCTGCTATCCAGCCAACCTTTGCATTCAGAATATGAGCTTTGCGAAAGTCTGGTCATGTTCAAGCTGCTTACTAATATTTCCATGTAAATAAAAAGAAATATGAGATCTAATTATAGGGCTAATTGCTTTTCATTTTTAAATGTAATGTAATGTAATACTTTGCATGTGTCTTCACAATAAAGCCTGGTCTCTTCATTACAGTTCCTCTGCATGGCCAATCGCCTCTAGTGACAGGAGAACGCATCCCCTCCAACCTGCGCACTGTAAGCAAGTTGCCTCGACATCGTCCATTGAGCCGCACCCAATCGTCCCCACTGCCTCAGAGCCCCCAAGCATTGCAACATTTGGTTGTGCAGCAACAGCACCAACATTTCTTGGAGAAGCAGAAACAGCAGCAGATTCAACTGGGAAAGGTAGGCAAATGTGACTCGGGCAAACTTTTGTGTAATCCATTTGGACATGAATCCATGTTCTCTGGTATTCCCAGCTAAAGTATACGATTGATAGCAAAGCTCTTTTTTCCCTTTCTATTTGTCATTCAGCATGCTCTAAGGTACCTGGGATTGAAATCTTCCAGCTACTGTCAGTCTGTTTACAAAAGGGGAATTGAATAATATGTGTATTTTTCTGAGTTCCTCTTTATCCTGTAGGCAGCTAAGAGGACTAGAAATGAAGCTCAAAGAATTAAAGTCACCAGAACAGCAAAACTATGTATTTAGTGTGCCTTGTTCCTCCCCATCCCAAGGCTTCCAGGTTCTTGCTTTGACCTCAAAATTACCAGGCAATTAAAGTGCAAGCAGTTGTTCCTTTTTAATTTTTTCCCATCTTGCAGATAATCACCAAGACCGGTGAGTTGCCCCGGCCACCTACCACACACCCTGAGGAAACAGAGGAGGAACTGACAGAACAACAGGAGTCTTTGGGGCTTGGTTTGGGCCTGGGCCAGGGGCCCTTTGTGCTGGATGGGTCAATAGAAAATGAGGGGACCCAGGATGGCTTAGAGGAACAAGAGGAGGACGAAGAAGAAGAAGAAGAAGAAGAAGAAAGTATAGCCAAAGAGCAAGGCTGTCTTCAAATGAAAGATGAAGCTGGAGTGAACAGGCTACAAGAAGAACAGGAGGTTGAGGAGTTGGGAGTTACTTACAGGCAGGTGAGGCCTCTCTTAAAATAGTGTGTCATTAAAATCTGTACTGAAGTCACAGGAAAGTGCTCGTTAAAATTTTGTTCTATTGCAAAAGGCTTCTCCCCTTCAAGACTACATGCAGTACGGGCGGGGAGGCATTGATGTTCATCTGTTCATTTCCTCAACAAGATAGCAAAGCATATAGGAATCCTTGTATGTATGAGAGTAAAGAACTTCTCTATGAGTTATGAGACTTTGTGCCTTGACACATATGCAAAAATGTGAGATTCAAACTTGCTTAGCTTAACACATTTTTAGGCATGGCAATTAATTTCTGGGCTAGCAAGGAAAACTAATAACACTTTTTTCCTGCTCTTCAGTATGAGAGGAAGTGAGATTCCATTATTTTATAATTGCTTTGGGGATTGTGTGTGGTGTCTCCATTTTGGCAACACTGCTGGCCAATTGGCATGGAAGAAGTAGAGGGTAGAAAAGAATGGAAATAGCAGAGAAATCATGATTCTAAAAATCATTAGTGGGCATAAAGGCAGAAAATACATTTGGGTTATTTATGATAAATACCCTAAGAAAATGTAGCTGCCATGCTACTTCTTGATATTTGCAGTGAAGTAGAAAAAAAGCAGAAGGGTTCAGAAGAAAAGTATGCCCCATTTGAATGATTAGTCATATTGCTTGGACATAAATATCAATTAAAGAAAAGTATAGCATGCTTTTAAAAGTAAAAATAAACTTTTATAAATGGAAAACAATACTGCAGACAGCAGCAGCAGTCCCATTGGAGATCAAACATATCAATTCTTCCATTCATGCTGAGCTTGTTTACTACTGCTTCTTGAGGAAGACTGGATCAAAGTAGGAAGAATAATATGGTTATGGAAGAATAGAAAAAGAAGTGCTTCATAGCACAGGAGAGGTGAATTACAAGGAACTATAAGTTTGGAGAACTAGTTGAATGACTATATTTCTTGTTTCCCATTCTTCAACCCCATTCATCTGAGATAATGGAGCTTCCAAAGGGGGAAATGACTCATCTACTGCATTACAGTCACCTTTTCTGTCTCTCTTATCCTTGGTTTCTGAGCATACTTCTGGCTTCTGAACGTCATCCTTGATTATGAGTCATCTGTCTTCCTTTCAGTTTTATTCATTTAAAAATTTCATCAGTTCCATACTAGAATGTGTGTTTGGCAAAAAAATGAAAGTCCTTTCCTCCAGAAAAAGGGTCAGCAAAGAAATCAGAATTGATTGAAAGGAGTTCAAAATTAAAGTATGTCAAAGGAACATTGAGGGGTAGCTTAGGACTCACATGCATATGGTATGGGTGCTATTGTTAAAATGAATGCCACATATTTGGAAATTTCTTGATTGAGTTTACTGGGGAATTCTATATTTAATCAGTCAAGCATAGAACACAACACCAGCCATATGCAGGTTTGATTCATGTTGATCATTTCCCCGTACATTTAAGCTCCATTTTCTCCAGTGTGATCCCATAGACAACCATATCTAAAAATCTTGGCAGTAGTGTGGAATTTGAAGCCTGCAATAATTACTGAGCATCAATGCCCAGCAATTCTAGCAACATGATCAGTGATGAGAAATTTTGGAGAATCTAATCTCTGGGAGATTAGTAATATCTGGGAGGTCAGAAGTATAATCCTGGATAATTTTGTGCTCAAGGGTGGAATGTTTTATCTTCTGTTCCTCCAGTGCATAAGTTCTGAATCATTGGATTCAAAATACAAGAAAAAATAATTTTAACTAAACATCAGAAAGAACCTCTTGACCAAGTAATCCCAAACTGCCTCTGAAGGTAGTGACCTCCTTCTCACAGTGCCTGGAGGCTATTAGGGGCTGGATGGGGAGCAATAAGTTGAAACTGAACCCTGGCAAAACCGAGTTGGCTCTGGGTTTGGAGGTCTTTGTCCCATAGAGAATTGCCATCTTTAGTCTTGGATGGGGTGGCACTACCCCAAACACACCCAGTGCATAATCTGGGGGTTCTCCTGGACTTGCGATTCCTGCTCTGCAGGTGGCAGTCGTGGCCAGGAGGGCCTTTGCGCAACTACGGGTTGTGTGCCAGTTATGCCCTTTCCTGGATCAATAAACCCTACTCACAGTCACTCATGCCCTAGTCACCTCTCATATTGACTATTGCAATGAGCTCTATATAGGGCTGCTCCTGAAGAACATCCGGAAGCTCCAGTTGGTGCAAAATGCAGCAGCCTGCATGGTTTTGTGCAAAACTCGGTGTGCACATGTATCACCTCTCTTGCAGGAACTGCATTGGTAGCCAATTTCCTTCCGGGAAAGGTGCTGGTTGTCACCTTTAAAGCACTTCATGGCTTGGGACCTGGTTATCTGAGAGACCATCTCTTGCTGGTCACATCTACCTAACCCACTAGATTGGAGAATGTTACGGGTCCCTAAGGAGATACATCTAGTGGGGCCTTCTCCATGGTGGCTCCCTCTCTCTGGAACATCATCCCTCCAGAGATGAGACTGGCCCCCACTCTAACACTCTTTCGGAAGATGCTGAAGACGTGGTTCTGCCAGAGCAGAACCCAGAGCAGGTGGAGCCCATTAAATGGCTTGTATGAATGTGTGTTGTTGCCAGGGTGGGGGAATTATTATTTTATTATTTTTCTTATTATTTTTACTTCTTTTATATGGTGCTTTTATAACCATGTAAGCCGCCTTGAGTCGCCATGTGCGAGTAAGCAGCAATATAAATTTTCTAAATAAAATAAAATAAACAATGAACTTGTAGAATTTTAAACAAAGACTTAATGGCCATTTGCCAGAGGTTTCCTAAATCAGAAGATGTGGTCTATATTATTTTTGAAGTTTCTGCCATGTTTTCGATTCTGTGAATGTACTTTATAGAATGTTCTCAACAAGGTACCTTCCAGATTTATTGTAACCATTTTCCAGGATTTCCAACCATCAGAGCAATTGGTTGGGGATTCTAAAATTCTGCAGATTGAGGATGGCTGCAGCATAGGGAGTCAGTGGCTGTGTTCATAGGTCACATTAACCCATGATTAACTGGAACTGGTTTGCTTAATCTAATTGCCTAAACTAGCCTAGTATTATGTGTGAATCTAATTATTTCTTTATGAAATTTATATTGCCATTCAACAAATCAGAGTGGCTTCCCACCCCCCAGCAAAAAATAAAAACCAATTTAAACAAATATATTAACACTGAAGATATTTGGAGGAAAAATACCATAGATGTTGCTGAGAGAAGGATTTGTTCTCCCATTGCTACTGGCAGAGAAATTAACCTTTCTGTGTGTGGGTTGCAGAAATAATTGGAAGGGGAGTGGGTTAGATCAGGATAAACAAATGTTTCCTTTCACTTCTTATACTTCCTGATAAATAATGTTTTGTGCTTGCCATGCCTATGTGATTCAAGGCAACAGGAAGCAGATCTGGGTCAGATTTGGAAGTAAGCAAAACACACACAAACACCACATGCACCTTCTTTAAACTCCTTTCCTCTCATTCTTCCATCTTCCAAGTGATCCTTGCTTGAGGTCTAAACTAATTTTTTTTTCAATGAACTTTTCAAATTAAGATGGCCAGCTGAGTAGGATTAGGCTACATCCATAGAACTTGCTATAAGATATGATTGATACCAGCCATATACCTGTCTACAGTAAAATTTCAGCTCTTTTATGTTTCTGAAATCTAATGTTTTAACAATATATATATAGTTCTCTTTGGGCAATGCAAAACAAGTTATTTTGAAATAACTGAGCTGTAAAATTTCATGAAATAACCATGCAAAATTAGCTATTTTTACATTTTGGAAGCATTCTGAATGCACATAGTGGTTCAAGCTTAGAAAAGATTACTTCCAGGCTTAAATCATTTCCAGACTGCTTTCAGCTATCCATTTCATACTCAAAACAGAACATTTTATGAAATTTTAGTCTTACAATGTTTCAATATGACATGTTTTGTACTGTCCTAGCTCTGTATGTACTAGGATGAATCATAAATACATGGACAAGTAAAAAAGCAACTGTCAATGAGCATTAGCTTCCTCATAAATGCTATAGGTTGGGCTAAATAAGGCAGTTTTTTTTAAAGCTGGTGAAATATTGAAATAGTAGATCTTTTGATCTGTCTTTCTTTTTCTTTCTCTCTGGCTACTATTCCTGTAAAATGTATAGGTATTTGCTGATGCACATCAGCTAAGATCTCTGCAGCTCTATCAAACTCCCCTGAGCATAAGTACTATACCCCATCAAGCCCTTAGCCGTACCCAGTCTTCACCTGCTAGCACTAGCCTGAAGAACAGTACACCTGAGCCTTTGGTCCATCACCTTTTCACTACAGGTAGGTGAAGGACTTTATTTCCTGAAGCTTGGAAGACAGTGAGATCATTGTCTTGCTGGGCATGAACAAGCTGCTTAGAAACTGCATCTCCTACCCTGAAAATTTCTTTCTCAGATATGCAAGGGATTCTGCATATGTTCTCCTTTATTATCACATCCAGTCCCTAGTGTCCAAGAACTAAATAGTGTCTCTGCTTTATTCTTTACTTTAGGGCACAACAGGATAATATCTTGAATTTAAATCAGTTTGGTTCATTGAGAGAAGATTGCCCGTTTGGTGGTTTTAACTGGATTTGTTTTATTATTGATTTATTTTACTTGATGAGGATTTAAGGCTTCTGTCAATCACAAAATGTTAAAACTTAAATAAAATTAGATATTAACCAGTATCAAAAGAATGTAGAAAAAAATTATTCTCTACAATTTTTCTTAAAGGTTGCCAGAATATCAGCCAAATGTAACTCATAGGGGAATGTATTCCAAGCTAGAAACAATGCAATGCTCTTTCCCATTCCAGATATGCAGGCTTCTGATAAGGGAGGCTTCTGCAAATCTTAATGACTGGAGAGGTTCATAACTGGAGGGGCAGTCCCTCAGATAATCAGAGCTTAAGCCTTAAAAATTTAAAAGGCTTTAAAAATAGCACCTTCAGTAAAAGCCAGTGAATATTTGGAAATCATGTGATTCCTTCACTTTGCCCAGGTTAGCAGATTAGCTAATGCAAATGCTTTTTAGATACTTTTAATTAATGCATTATTTTTTCAATTTTAGGGTCCTTTGTGGTTTGTTGGAGAGCCTGTTTGGTATAGTAGTTAAGGTATCAATGTAAAAACTGAGAGGTCATGAGTTCTGGTCCTGCTTTAGGCACAAAGCCAGATACTTTCTCTCAGCCCTAGCAAGACAATGGCAAACCATTTCTGAAATCTTTTCAGAAAAACTTTAGAGTTAATCCATGAGTCAAGACTGACTTAAAAGCACAGAGGAAAAAAAGTGGTTTGCTGGCTGCTATATGCCATTTGAATAGGCAGGGTTAGTGGAAAAAAATAAATATAATTTAAATTTGCATTAGATCTCTCTCCTTATATGTTCTATTATTTTCTCTTTTGTTGCATTTGGCTATAGTCTTTGAAGACAGTATGGCCAGGATGGGGGCTCAGTGGTAGATTATGTATTCTAATGTATAGAATGTATCTGAGAACCCCATCAACCTCAGATATTCTTAACAAATAAAAATAATGTGGTAGCCACAAGCTCCTGCTTTGTTTAAAACGAGTGGTAAGTCGCTGCGCAAAAAAAAAGAGAGGGGGAGAGAGAGACAGAGAAAGAGATCAGGATAGAAGAAGCCATGCTGGCTTACTGAAGCAAAGCGATCTTAGGAGTTTGTCTTCTAGTAAACTATTGCTTTATAACTGAACACATCCATGGTGGTAATAATTTTGTGATACAATAGTGTCTTTAGCATGCCATCAGAATCCCAATATGCTACCTGGGCAGGATTTTGGTTGCTTTTTATTTTTTTCCTCCTTCCTTCTGTGCGTTTTTACCACCTTCTCATAGGTGTTGTTTATGACACATTCATGCTGAAGCACCAGTGTACATGTGGAAACACTAATGTTCACCCAGAACATGCTGGGAGGATACAGAGTATTTGGTCCAGACTACAAGAGACAGGATTGCTAACCAAGTGTGAGGTAAGAAATCTCAGAGTGCAACTTTTTTGCCAGCGGCTGGTAAGACAGCTTCCAAAGTCACATTAAAAAAATAGCTCAAAAAATAGAAATGATTTTACAGTGGAGGAAGGGCGCCATCCTGGAATATCCAAGCTTTGTGGCATCATAAAAAATAAGAAATACAAAATAGATGAGTCCACAGCATCAGGCACGTGGTAGTTTTTATGCTGTTCCCAAGTCCTAATAAATTTGCTAATCTTTAAATTGCTGCAAGAATATCCAATTTTGCTGCATCTTATTTGTTTTGGAAACAATCCACAGAGAAGAGGATTTTAAAAACAAAGAAAGATACGTAAAGCATAGCCTTCAGCCTGTATTTCCAGCACAAAAGAAAATAACTGCAGTGGAACTCTGAAAACAAAAGCTACTCCAATTACATGTTACTGTACTACAAGTCCCAGCAGCCCTAGCCGGTTTGAACTGCTGGAATTTTTGCTTCAGCAAACACATATAAGACCTCAGATTTCTCTATCATAATCTGTAATACTTTGAGATTTCATAGAGTCAGAATTTCCCCAGCAAGGTCAGTCCATTCCAGGGGTTGTCAACACTCTTGATACCTAGCATGAAAACAAATAGTCCATGTACAAATTGAAAGCTCATGTTCCTGCATGAAAAACAGTACCATATACATCTTTCCTCATTGCTCTTCCATTAATTTTCAAGTACTATAGGTTACTTTGTTACATTTTTCATGCAGGAACGTGTATTGACTTTATAAAAGTATTGACCCCCCTCCCCCCGGGGCTGATCATCAATTATGTACTGAACCTTTCTGGGGAAAGCATCTATGCAGTCTCTCGATATCTGCCACATCTGCAAATTTAGCTATGAGGGTGAGTCTTTTGTTCATTTATTTTCTTCCCATGCTTAAAATTAAAGGGCGGGGAAGGGTAGTAAAAATGTATTTGAATACCAGGTCATTGAACTCTCTCAGCAGAAAGTAGGTGAAATCCAGTGCTATGAAATGATTAGTCAAAAATACAAGATTGTTTTGAGGTTTTGTACTAATTTTTGTATCAAACATGATCAACTGTTATATGTTTTGATATAAATCTAATCAGCAAACAAAGGCCTAATGTACTAATTCACATCAGCATTGTACTAGACACATAGATCTTTAATCAATCAGAATCATGCAAGCCATGGTATTCCTGGTGATACTTTATCGAAATGAAAGTTGGATTTTGAAAAAGCAAGATAGGAAGAGTATTGACACTTTAAACTTTGGTGTTGGAAAAAAATGAGCAGTATTCCATGGACAGCTAACAAATGGATCATTGAAAAATAAATGTAGGGTTCTCCAGCATGAGAGATGTAGCCTCCACCAATGGGTTATCGAAGCCTTCCTGCTCAGTTTAGACTAAGACCAAACTTTGGCCACGCCTCCCCTTGGGCGGTCCTTTCCCAGTTTTGTCTTAGTCTCGGCTCAGTAGGACACAACTTTGTATAACTCCTCATTTTGACTGTTTTATTTAGTTAGACTAGGATAGAGAAATTAAGGGTTTTTGTTTTAATTTCATTTAGTCTTTTATTTGGATTTTAACACTGCATAGGAAGTGTTGCAGATAGGATTTCTGGCAGTTTGGGAGTGTGTTTTCCTGGGGGCTGCCAGGACCCTGGTGTAAACAGGAGCTTCGCCGTGGGATTCAGGCTTTAATCTCCACCAGCTGTTTGGCGCTGCGACGGGAGTTCCCTGAGCGCTCCGGAGCGATTTTTTTTTTCCGATCGCTCCTGAAGATCAGGCCGGACGGCCGAGTGCTTTGCAAAGTGTTTTCCTCCTTGCCTCGTGGCCACGAGGCCCCGGAGAGGATCGGATTGCAGCTTACCTCCGCAGCGAAACCGCAAGTTTCTTGGTGCCTTATAAGTTAAGGGGGTGAGAGGAGATTAATTTGGTGCCCTGTGGGTCTCCCTGATCGTCGGGTGGAGCTTTTATTTCGGTATTATTACTCCGGCATCGCCTTTTAGGCGGCCAGGTGACTCGCGGCCGCCATTTTGAATCTGAATTGGGTGTGGTCGCCATCTTGGTGAGACCTCTCTTCACGCTGCTTAGGCCTATTGATTACTGTAGCCTACTGTGTTGGGCTCTTAAGGGGGTTTATAAGACAATTTATTCTTCTCTCCTTTTATGAGGATTCCATTAAAAGGGGGTTTCCCTCTTTGATTCCTATTGCATTATTCGAATCAATCCATTATCAGATTTAATTCTGAGAGAACTTAATAGACCTGTTCTACTTAGCTCGCGGTGCTGTGCCAGCAGGGCCTAGCAGACAGTTTTAGAAATCTGCTGGCTGTTTGTCATTGTGGTTCTCTTAGGGCGCGGGAAGCTTCCCTCCCGGACAACTTGATCTGCGTGTTTACCCCCATTACAGTGCTTCTCCTATCTGGAAGGTCCGGTGCACAATGGCAGATGGTGAAACTTCTCAGACTTCGCAGGGTTCTGATGCCCCCCCCGCACAATCCAAATGAAGATCTTCTGATATGGGCGCGGGGGGAAAGAAAAAAGCCAAAACCAAGCATTTATCTACAGAACCCTCCAAGGCTGCTGAGCGAGAGGCCTCGAGGAGACATCAGGCACTGGAGAAAGAATTCTCCAGAGCACAAAGGCTCAGGTCCAGTGAAACTGAAGTGGTTCCCCCTGCTTCTCTGGACAGTTCACCATTTGAGCCTTCACTAGTGCCTTCTGATCAAGTCCCCAGGGCTTGGTCTCCTCAAGGGGGAACTGAACAGGTTGGTCTCCCTCCTTCCCTTCCCGGTTCTCCTCTTTTTCCTTCTGGTCCTTCAGTTCCTGCTGCTTCCATCACCCCACAGGCTTCTGAGGCCTCCGCTTCTGGTGTTGCCCCTGCAGAGCAAACTTTCTGGGCACAACAGTTCAACTCTTTCATGTAACAGGCCTTCAACCAATTTATGGCATCCTCTATGGGTCAGGGGTCTGCACAGATCCCATCCCCTTCTCCTCCACCCTTGCCAGCAGGTCGCACTGGATACCTCCAGTCTGCAGGCTCTGGTGTTTCTGAGACTTCGTCTCAACTGGGAGAGGCCAAGTCTGTTGACTTGGAAACAACTGACTTACCTATGTCAGAGGATGAAGAGGTGGCACCTGATCCGACTCCAACATTGGGTCTTTTTGACCCTTCTCTATTTCGATCACTATTATTAAAGGCCGGTACCACGGCCAATTTGGTCGCAGAGCAGGAACCTGAACCATCTACGTCCGCTGCGCAGGAGTCAAATCATTTATTTGCGGTAAAGGTTATTGAGGAAAAGCAAGTTCCTTGCCCTGCAGTTTTCCGCACCATGGTAGAGAAACAGTGGGCTTCATTGTCCACTCTACCTCCACCCAGCAGCACGGAAAAGAAGCTGTTTAATGTATCACCTACCTTTTCTTCCCTCCTAGAGGTACCTACGGTGGATGCCCCCTTGACTTCCTTATTCTCCACGTCCACAGTTCCTGGTGACATGGCAGAGAACCTCAAGGCGGAGGATAAAAGATTCGAGTTTTCTCTCTGCAGAGCTCATCAGGCCTCAGCCTGGGCCATCAGGGCAGCAACATCCTCGTCCTTTTTCGCGAGGACTTCCATTATGTGGCTCCATGAGTTACAGGCTTTAATTCCTCCGGATCAGGTTCGTGCGCAACAGACTCTAGGTAAGCTAGTTGCAGCGGAGTATATGGCAGATGCATCCCTCCATTCGGTCAAGTATTCAGCTAGGTCTATTGTGGCCATGGTAGCGTCTTGCGGACTATTGTGGCTCAAACAGTGGAGGGCAGATCTCAAATCAAGATGGCGTCTGGCCACAGACACATACAGTGGTACTCAATTGTTCGGGGCGGTCTTGGAACCGTACCTAGTGGAAGGGAAGGACAAACGAAAGACCTTGGCTCACCCCTCCAAGAAGGCGGACAGGAGACCTCAGCAAGAATTCCAAAAACAGTCCTTTCGTGCTGGGGGTTCCTGGGATTGGCGGCAGCCCTTTCAATCAGGGCAGTCCTGGGATTGGCCCAGAGGTTCCCGATCCTTTTCCCCCAGACAGGATCGGCAACAGGACCGCCAGAGTTCAGGAGCCAGGGGACAGTTCCAGAGCAAGCGTCCCTTCAGGGGAGCTGGGGGACGCCCATATAGGAGGTCCAAGTGACGCCAATTTGGATCCTCCCATAGGAGGTCTCTTGGCTCTGTTCAGCGACGCTTGGGAGGTCACCACCAATGATACCTGGGTGAGGGAGACCATAAAATTCGCCCTAGCCCTAGAATTCACTTCCACTCCCCCACACCACTTCATCCAGTGCCCAGTCTCAAGACGTGTAAGCAAAGCCGGGTTAGTCTCCACGGCCATTTCCCATCTGTTAGATATAGAGGTATAGAGGCCATAGAGCCGGTTTCTCTGGACCAAAGGGGAAAGGGGTTTTACTCCATCCTCTTCATGGTCCCAAAAGCCTCGGGGGGTTGGAGAGCGATCTTGGATCTGAAGGGACTAAACCACTTCATATCTTACAGGAGATTCAAGATGCAGTCTCTCAGATCCATTCTGGCCAGCATCAGGAGGGGAGATAACCTCTGCTCCATAGATCTGACAGAGGCTTATCTTCATGTCCCAATCCGACCCCATCACCGCAGGTTCCTCCGTTTTTGCCATGCGTGCAGGCAGTATCAATACAAGGCCCTACCCTTTGGCCTGTCCTCGGCCCCTCGGGTTTTCACAAAGCTGCTGACGGTGCTAGCGGCTCATCTCAGGCTGATTCCGGTAAGAGTACAATGCTACCTGGATGATATAATTATCCAGTCCAGTTCATTCCGTTCTGCGCAGACAGATCTACAGACCACAATACGGACTCTTCAGAGACACGGCTTCTCTGTGAATTTCAAAAAGAGTCACACCACTCCGACCAATTGGATCTTACACTTAGGCGCGGTGATAGATTCAAACCTGTGCAAGGTTTATCTATCCCAGGAACGCAAGGACAGCATCAAATCTCTAGTTCACAAAATTCAGAGAGGCAAGGTGGTTCCACTGGTCCAGCTGTCTCAGCTGTTGGGAAAGATGATTTCATGTCTGGGAATAGTGTCTTGGGCACGACTTCACTCCAGGCATCTCCAGTGGTTCCTACTCCCTTTCCAGAAGAGGAACATGAGTGCCTCCATACGGAAGGTGAAAGTCCCTCATCACACACTACTTTCACTCCACTGGTGGGTGTCGGCAGCCATACACAAGGGATCACTTTTCAAGGAGCCTTACAGACTCGTCCTGACCACGGACGCCAGTATGTTCGGATGGGGCGCGCACATACAGACACACGTGGCACAGGGCCGATGGTCTCAGTCCGATCTCACCCACAAGATAAATTGGTTGGAACTCAGGGCAGTACACCTGGCACTTCGCCAATTTTCACACATAGTATCGGGACAACATGTCCTGGTAATGACGGACAACGTCGCAGCCAAAGCTCATGTCAACAGGCAAGGGGGGACCAGGTCTTTGGCCCTCATGCAGGAAGCCATGACTCTGGGCCTGTGGGCAGAGTCCAACCTGGCATCCATTTGTGCAGAGCACATTTCAGGAGAGGCGAATCGTCAGGCAGATTCTCTGAGCAGGGTGACGGTAGACCATTCAGAGTGGCACCTGGATCCAGCCCTCTTCAGGAGAATAGTGCAGAGGTTCGGTCAGCCTCTGGTGGATTTGTTTATCTTATCGACGAACGCTCAGCTGCCCAGATTCTTCACGAGGTTTCCATCAAGGGGGGCGGAGGGCACGGATGCCCTCCGCAGTCCCTGGCCCAAGGGGCTCCTGTATGCATACCCTCCTCTTCCACTGATTCCGGCTGTCATCAGAAAGCTTCTCTTGGAACAGGCGGAGTTAATCTTGCTGGTCCCTTACTGGCCAAGGAGACCTTGGTTTGCAGACCTCGTGGATCTGTCGATCTCTCAGCCATGGAAGATCCCACCGGATCTCATTTCTCTCAGTCAGGGTCAGCTCCAACACCCGGATCCACGGTGGCTTCAATTAGCCGCTTGGCACTTGAGCGGGAGAGCTTAGCCAGGCAGTCATATTCACCGGAAGTCATTACAGTAATTCAGGCCTCCAGACGTCCTTCCACTAATAGGATTTATGACACCACGTGGAGGCATTTCTGCGCATGGTGTGCCTCTCGGAAACTAGATCCATTGGCGGTCACCATTCCAATCCTCTTAGATTACCTCTTAGAGGGCCTGAACAAGGGTCTGTCTCATAACACCATCCGCAGACAGATTGCTGCTTTATCCTCGGTTCTCACTTGTGAGAATCAGATACAGCTATCACATCACCCTGCAGTTAGGGCATTCCTTAAGAGAGCTGTTAACACTGCTCCTCCTGTGGTACATAGATATCCCACGTGGGACTTGCCCAAGGTGTTGCAAGTTCTCACGAGGTCGCCTTTTGAACCAATTAGATCTTGTTCCTTATACTTTCTTTCTCTGAAGGTCGCCTTTTTGGTTGCCATTACTTCGGCAAGGCGTATCTCTGAGCTGGCGGCTCTTTCGGTCAGGGGTGATCTATGTAACTTTCTGGATGACAGGGTGGTCCTCAAGTTGGATCCATCCTTCATTCCGAAACTCAATACCTGGTTCCATAGATCTCAGGATCTAGTTCTTCCAGATTTTTGTCCTCGACCGTCTCATCGCCTGGAAAAGTTATGGCACACATTAGACGTGCGTAGGGCCTTGCATCACTATGTGAAGCATACTGAGCCTTTTCGCAGAACAGAGGCGCTGTTCATGTCTTTCCAGCCTTCTTCCAGGGGTCTGAAGGTGTCATCTTCAACCATTGGAAGATGGATCAGAGCATGCATCTCTTATGCTTATAAGGCTCAGTCTCTTCCGGTTCTGGCAAACATCACAGCCCATTCAACGCGCAATGCAGCCACGTCTGCGGCCTGGTCTAGGCTTCGGTTGAAGAGATTTGTAGGGCAGCCACCTGGTCTTCCCCCTCTTCATTTATAAGGCATTACAAACTTGATCAGTTCGCTGCAGCAGATGCTTCCTTCTGCAGAAGAGTCTTGCAGCAGGTAGTTTCTACCCATGAATCACAAGCCTAGACTGCCCTCCCAAAGGGGACATGGGGGGCTTGGGTATGTCCCATTGGTGGAGGCTACATCTCTCATGCTGGAGAATGGGCGTTGTCTTACCTGAACGCCTTTTCTTAGCATAAAGATGTAGCCTCCACACCCGCCCTTGTTAGTGGGTCTAGGCTGAATTTTTTTCAGGAGTTGTTGTGTCAGACCATGGATGCTTCGCCTCGTCAAACAAAACTGGGAAAGGACCGCCCAAGGGGAGGCGTGGCCAAAGTTTGGTCTTAGTTAAATTGAGCAGGAAGGCTTCGATAACCCATTGGTGGAGGCTACATCTTCATGCTGAGAAAAGGCGTTCAGGTAAGACAATGCCCATTCTCACTTGAGATACAAATGGCCAGGTGGAAGGAAAGGCAAGAAGAGGACAAGCACCAGGAAGATGGATAAATTTGATTATTGGAAGACCTGAAGGATCAGATTAGGGACAGAACATCATGGAGAAAATCTTATGTGTGTAAATGCTAAGAGTCAATGACTTAATGGCTAGTAATTATTGTCATCACCAAATAATAATTGGGGGAAAATTTCCAAAATATGAGATTCCAAAGATAGCTGCTACTTTGATGTGAATTGACATTGAACTTTGGTACATATATATATACCTGTTTTGTTAGTTACAACATTTTTCAATAATCCTTCTAGCTTCATTCTAAAAAAAAGGCAAAAGAATAAAACTGTAGGCTCTGTCAAATTCTTTGGAAAAAATTTTTAAAGAAGATTTTTTCAGAGAAAGAACAATAAATAAGGAAGATGAGAGACTAAACTGATTTTATTAACTGATAAGGTCATTTGCTTTCCAGAGACTTGCATATGTATTTTCTTTCTTGAATTCACCTTTCTTTCATTGTTAATTCACACATGTCTCTAGGAAACTTAGATTCAGCTACAACTACAACCATCCCCAATCTGGCAACTTCCCAGATGTGCTGACTTCAATTCCCAGAATTCTCAGCAAGTAGAAATTACATGCAACCTGGGCTATTCTGGGAGTTGATGACCACACGAATTAAAGATGCTGAGATTAAGGAAGGCAGGCTTAGTGGCAAGTGAATTCTTTCCATGCAGATTTTAGAGAGATGGTAATGAGCTCTAATAATGAGAGATGAAAATATCTCTGATAATGAGAAATGAAAAAACCTTTTCCTGACGGTTTGGCTGCTGGCAGTCAAAAAGTTGTACTTTGGCAAATGGACCAGTGATCTGACAATGCAAGATAATGTGAACGATCTTACGGGCATTGTAGAGAAATATCCCAAGGATCATGCCACTATCAAAGCACTTGTCAGGGGAAGGTTTCTTGCAAATATTTCAGAGAAAACTTAGTGGGGCACAAAGGAAATTAAATTACAGGGCTGGCATTGCTTTTGCCTGGAGGGACCATACATTGTATATTGTATATGTGTGCTATGCCATGGGTCCTACTCAAAAAACAAAGCCTGACCAGAATAGAAAAGCACCTGAAAAGGAACCCTTTGTTCTGAAGCCAGAACAAAAGAATTCATTTTTTCCATAAAATCATTTAATATTGAACATTATTAAAGTGATCCTTGATTTAGTCTTTGAAGAGCATATGAATTTTGATTGCAATGTTGATATGGGCCCTAAGCCATTCATGAATGCTCAAATGGTAAAGAGGGACAGTTGAAGATATGTCCACAATTCTTAACCTGAAATGAATTATTGGAAAGGCTGGGATGGAGAAAAGCTTAATTGTTAAACCAAATTTAGATATTTAGCTTGAAAATAATATAAAATGAATAAACCTTATTACCAAAACATGGACAAGACATCTGTGTTGGTAAATGTAACTTTCAAAGTCCATATTTTAAATTTTCTGTCTAATATCTTCACCCATTTTTTGGTTACTTAGAGAATCCGAGGCCGGAAGGCAACATTGGATGAAATCCAGGCTGTCCATTCAGAACATCACACATTACTATATGGAACAAGTCCCTTGAACAGGCAAAAACTTGACAACAAGAAATTATTAGGTAGAATGTCTAGGACTTTATGTAATTCTATTTTCATAATGCAGAATGTTGCTCCTTCTTCCCCTTTCAAAAATCGCAGAATGTACAGAATTTTGCTTTATCTATGTATATGGTAAAGGTATAACATGTATGGTTAAATATGAGGAAGGGCAATCAGGTAGGCCATATTTTTAATATACCTGGCAAAGTGTGTCTTTTCAAACTTCTGTTATCAGATGGGAAAACATTTGATGGCAGGGGACTGTATTTTCTGAATTGGGAGATGGAATGAATGAGGCAATGATACAAAACTAAGTGAGCATTTGCACATAATGGGAAGAGTCCCATTTTTTAGGGGAAGTTAGATAATTTGAGGGGAGGGGCTATTTGATCTATGCCTGTTTAGCTATTTTAGAGCTTATGCTTTTTCAAAATTGTGGGCTACTAAATTGACTTATAACCCACTGTAGGCAATTTAAAAAGAAGTAATGGAATGTAAAGTTGCCCAATTGAATCCTGTATTCATGAAGATTATAATTTTGTTCTTTCTATGGTAGTAAAAATAAATAGACATGAAAAATGTAAGGAAAATTAATTAAGTACAATGTAACTGGTATATGAAATGTGGCATTCATACCCTTTCCTCTTCTTTGTTTCTCCTCTAAGGCCCCCTTAGTCAGAAAATGTATGCTGTCCTCCCATGTGGTGGAATTGGGGTGAGTGAAATACAGTTGCCAGGGAAATCAGATGGCAGGAAATGAAAGCCTCCCATATCCCAGCTTAAAACTTCATTTCTGCTGTGTCATTTATTTAATTTCTGGGAATCCGGCTTCACGTTAGTAGCAAGCAGATGCAGTTTTCATCTGTGATGGAGCATGACCCTGCCTGAAAGCCTATAGAGCTCCAATATGAAACCCAGAGGACAAAAGATTGAGTTTGATATAAGATGGTTCTTTATGTTATATTTTAATTGCATCTTCTTGATCTTTTCATGTGTCCTTGAATTGTACCGAAATGGCTTTAAAATCATTCCTTTTGGGGTTGTTGCTTCTTATCTTCATTCTACATGCTATTGAATACCCACAAGAATCCTATATAGCAATTATCTATTGCCTGCAAGCAATAGATAAAGTGATGAATGAGGCCTCAGCTGCATCTTTCATTTATTTTCATTTTTTAATGGAATATATATCCTGTTTTTTTATCTATACAGCACTCAAGGCAGCTAAAATACAAATTATAAAACATGAAAATAAAAAGAATGTTAAAATTAGAGTAAAATTAAACATCAATATCATTAAATCAATTTTATTAACAATCTGGAGCAGTGCGGTGGCTCAGCAGTTAAGACCCTGGGCTTGTCAGCCACACGACAGAGTGAGGTCCCATCCTCAGCCCAGTTCAGGCCAACCTAAAGTTTGAAAGCATGCAAATGCGAGTAGATAAATGGGTACTGCTACAGTGCTCTGTGATGTCATGCTGGCCACGACTGCAGAAATGTGTTCAAACAGCGCTGGCTCAATGACCTTGAAATGGAGATGAGCACTAGCCTCTATAGTCGGCAAGAACTAGCTGAGTAAAATCCGCAGGGACTCTTGTTAGCAATTTAGAAGCCTGGTGGAAAGGATGTATCTTTGTCACTTTCCTGAATTCTGTGTGTGCTCCATTTTACTTCCTCTAGCAGTTTTTTGTTTTATTTCCAAAATTATAGGCCGCCCTTCTTACCTCAAGGTAACTCTGGGCAGCTTGTTTGCATAGGAAGGAAAGCCCACAAAGGACTGTCCACGCACAAGTCCTCTCATTACAACACCATTCCTATTACCTATCAAATAGGAAGTGGTTACTTCCCTCATCTCCTAAAGCCTTTCATAGATAGGACAAAATCTACGGGACCAAGTATGAAGTAGTGGTTAAACTGTTGGCCTAGAAATGAGGAAATCTCGATTCTTGTACATGCTCAGCCACAGAAACTCATTGGATGACTTTGGGTCAATCACTCTTCTAACCCTAACCCTTGCAGTGTTGTTGTTGTTGTTGTGGAAAAAATAGAAGGAACAAGTATTGTGTATGAATTTCTAAACTAAAAGCAAGATGGAAATCAAAGAAGGAAATGATCAGGCCAGCTTGGATGGCTTTACTCTTTAACTTCTGTAACTCCTGTGGTCTATGATAAACTTTCACTGCAGGTTGACAGTGACACAGTATGGAATGAAATGCATTCATCCAGTGCAGTCCGCATGGCTGTTGGCTGTTTGCTGGAGCTGGCCTTTAAAGTGGCATCAGGGGAACTTAAGGTAAATTCTTCTTTAAATCCATTGACAGAAAGTGCATTAAAAGTGGTTGTGCTAATCATAATGTAATGAACATATTATTAAAGATACATGACTTTTTCATCCTTAGAATGGATATGCTGTCATCCGACCACCAGGTCACCATGCAGAAGAGTCTACTGCCATGTAAGTATAGGCTATAAATTGAGGGGGAAATATCTACTACATTTAACTACTGCAAAATTAAAAACTTTACATTTTCTAAAATAAATTCTTTTGGAAAAGTGGAATAAGTAAAGGTGCATTTTTTTAAAAAGCCATTTTATGTGCCATCTTCTCAAATGAAATTCCATCTCTTTTTCTTGAGTTGTACTGCATATTTGATATGTTATTGAAAAACTTACTTTACTTAAAAGTAAACATAAAATCTACATGAAAATACCTGAGTGGCTCTCAACAATGGAAGCTTTTGCGTACCCAAATTTGATTAACTATGACAAACTGGTCTGTTACAAAGATATTTTAGATAAAGAGGGAAAAGTTAAGGACAGGCAAACTTTACAGCAACACGGTATGGACCTGACATGGTGGTCCTACTTGCAGATTCAAACAAGGTATGAAAAAGACATAAAACCAACAGGCTTTTACAAACAACAAACCCCTTTAGATAAAATATTGTTAAAAACAGATGAGAACCTGATTAAGAAACTTTATAAATTTCTTTTGAATTGGAAGATGGAAGAAGAACAAGTGAAAGAAACGATGATAGTATGGGCAAAGAACTTTGGATACACGATAGATCTTGAAGAGTGGCAAAAACTTTGGGATAAAAACATTAAGCTTACTAAAGCGGTAATATATAAAGAGAATCTATACAAGATGTTTTATAGATGGCATATGACACCGGTTCAATTAGCGCATATGTTTAAAAATGTTTCAGATACTTGTTGGAAATGTAAACAATTACCAGGTACTTACTATCATGCCTGGTGGATATGCCCAGTTGCTAAGAAATATTGGTCCAAGATTCATAGATGGTTGGAAAAGATGATGAATATAAAGATAGAATTTAAACCGGAATTGTTTTTGTTGGGAATATTAAGACCTAGTTACGGTAAAGAGAATGATTATTTGATATTGCATATTTTAACTGCAGCGAGGATAGCATTTGCCCAATTTTGGAAGAATGAGAATTTACCATCGGACCAGAATATAATTACAAAAATTTTAGACTCTGCGGAAATGGATAGGTTAACATTAGAAATGAAAGAAAAAGATGACTCAGTTTACTTTACAACCTGGGAAAAATTTTTATCATTGGTTAGAGACACGCTAGAAGTTTAATGATGGAGTATTAATTAATAGATAGTTAGGTGAAAGGATTTATTGAAATTTGTTTTATTATTGTTGATTGTTAGAAATTTTCTTGTTCTTTTCTTCTGTCCTTTTTCTCTGAGACTTCAATAGTATTAATATGTTTGTTTAGCTATTAGGTGGAAATACTTGTTTTTCAATAATTTATGGTTATGCCTTTATTGTTAAAGCTAAGTTTAAGTGAAAAATATTTGAATATGTTATATGTTATTTAAATATTACGATAAGGTATTTACGTATTATGATATGCCGGATACCTACTTGCTTGTAAAATTATTGACTATATATTACCCTTACCCCCTTCCAAATCCCCCATTTTTTTCCTCCCCACCCTCCCCTGTCTACCATACCTATATTCCTCCCTTTTTTCCCTTTATGGATAAAAAACTCAATAAAAGTTTGTAAAAAAAAAAGAAGAAAAACTTACTTTACTTAGACATCCATACCCCCAAATATGTTTAGAAAATGGATGTATAAAAGGTGATAAGATTAGAAAATTCTTTTCCATAGCATACTGTGATACCTGTTACTATAAATAGCATTTTTAAGGGTCAAATAAGGCATGGCACCATTTAGTGGCAGGAGCATTCGAGGGTTTTAGGCAAGGCTTTATCGTAGTGCTAATTGGAGAGGTGAGTTACTCAATCTAGTACCTGTTAGAATCACTTAGATGCTCTACCAATGAGCATATCCTTCATGAAATCTGGCTACCTGCTGTAATGGAGAAAGTTGGGCTTAGGGAGGCCCTATTCTGGTAGAGTATATCAATTCTTATGCTGCTCATCTATCCTAGCCCAATAATGCCATTCTTCGTTTTCATTTTGTTTAGGGGCTTCTGCTTCTTCAACTCTATTGCCATTGCTGCTAAGCTTCTACAACAAAAGCTTGCCATCAGTAAAATCCTCATTGTGGATTGGGTAAGGCTTTTTTTTTCTACTCCAGTGGTCACTTACTCTCTTAGGTTACAGGTCATAATCATAGTTACAATTATTAATCATAAGTTTAAAACAACAATTGATAAATCATAAACCAATAGGAGAAGATAGTAGGAAAGATGAGAATATGAGAAAAGGTGAGAAATGTTGTGCCTTTTTAATGATGGTTCTAATGTTTGGTGATCATTTCAAGTCCTTGGAAATAATAGAATCTAGAAACTTGAATGTCTCTACTTTTGATACTGTGTTGTCTAATATTGTAAGAGGTTGTAGAATAGGAGAGCTTCTTCTAAAATCTATTGTCATCTCTACAGTTTTAGGAATGTTCAGCTTCAGATTGTTCTGGCTGTACCACAGGGTCAGTTGATCCAACTCTTGTTTATATGCAGACTTATCATTGTCTGCATGAGACCAATGACTGTTGTATCATCTGCAAACTTCAGTATTTTAACAGAGGGATCCTTCAAGATGCAGTCATTGGTATATATATATATATAGAGAGAGAGAAAAGAGTAATGGAGAGTACACAATCTGGGGGCTCCTGTGCTAATTGAACCGGGTGTTTGATGTGATTTTTCCCTAGCTTCATCTGCTGCTTCCTATTCATTAGAAAGCCTATAGTTCATCTACAAGTGGGGTCAGGCACAGCTAGATGAGTCAGTTTAGAGAGGGGGATTTCAGGAATGATGGCGTTGAATGCTGAGGTGAAATCTACAAAAAGGATCCTTACATAGTTCTTTGGGGATTCAAGATGTTGTAAGATGTAGTGCAGTGCCATAATGACAGCATGATCTGCTGATCTATTTGCACAGGAGGCAAATTGCAAGGGGCCTAGAAGCACATCTGTGATGGTTTTCAGATGGGCCAACACTAACCTTTCAAAGGTTTTCATAACCTTGGATGTCAGAGCCACCAGTCTGTAGTCATTCAATTATTTGATAGAGGATTTCTTGGGCATCAGAATGATAATAAAGTGTATGAAACAGGAAGGGAGATAATACATCTCCTTATTAAAGATGCAGGTAAAGATGGGGGCCAGTTGATCAGACTTTCAAGCAAAAGGGAGTTACCCTGGTGCTTTCCCACCTTTTTGTCTGTGAAATAGACCTTGCACACCTTCGGTAATCATCAGAGGTGGGGGGCCCAGAGGGATGGAGTTGGGTGTAGGAGACTTAGCTGTTGTTGATGTATCTGAGATGGAGAGAGTAATGATAGTTGACAGTAGTCTCCTCTCAAGCCTACAGTAGAACACATTCAGGTCATATGCCAGTTTCCAATTCTCTTCTGCAACGGCGAGAGGTCTGCTATAGCCAGTGATATTTTTCAGGCTTTTCCACATATTTGCTGGTTCAATTGTGGAGAGCCGATTCCTCAGCTTTTCAGAGTAGCTTCTCTTTGCTGCCCTGATCTCCCTTGTTAATACATTCCTGGCCTGATTGTACAGCATTCTATCTCCTTTCCTGTAGGCTTCCTCTTTGGCATGGCATAGATGTTTATGCTTAGCTGTGAACCAAGGTTTATTATTACTGTAGATGCGTATGGTTTCCGTCGGCACACATAAGTCCTCATAAAAGCTAACGTATGATGTCACAGTGTCAGTGAGTTCATCCAAGTCCACTGAGGCAGCTTCAAAAACATTCCAGTCTATGCAGTCGAGGCAAGCTGGTAGGTTTAACCTTGCCTCTTCAATCCAAGATTTCACAGTTTAACTATTGGTTTTATGATTTTAAGTCTTTGTCTATAAACAGGTACAAGGTGAATCATACAGTGATCAGAGTGTCCCACAGCCACTTTTGGTAGAGAGCTCTTGGTAGAGAGCTTTTATTGTAGAGTAGCAATGGTCTAAAATATTATTGCCTCTTGTGAGACAGTTGACATGCTGAATGTATCTTGGCAGCTAATGGCTTAGATTAGCACTGTTAAAATCTCCTAATACAATGAGTAGGGAGTCTGGATATCTGTTCATCCCACAGGATTTGGCCAGTTAAGATCTGCAATACCTTGATTATGCAAGCTTGAGGTGGTATGTAGATACCAACTAGAGTGAATGAAGAAAACTCTTAAGGGGAATAATAAGGTATACAAATGATGAATAGTGTCTCTAAGTCCACATCACAAAATTTCTTTAGTATAGTGACATTTTTACACCATAAATTGTTAATATAAAAGAAGATACCTCCACCCATCTTTTTGCCAGATATTTCTGCACTTCTATCTGAATCTGAAATCCTGGGATTTGCAAGCACCTATCATTAATTGAATCATCCAGCCACATTTCAATGAAGCAGAGGGCTGCTGAGTTGGTGCAGTTCATCTATCTTATTTACAAGTGAGCAAAGATTAGTTAAATACAATGAGGGGAGCAGATATTTTCTTACCCCATGCTTTCTTGGTCTTTGTAAAATGCCTCCTTGCTTGCCCCTCCCTTCTCCTTCTCTTGTTTCTCTTTGCCTCTTTCTAACTATCTTGCCAAGAGAGATAACTGCCATTCCCTCAGTTAGAATTTCTTCCACATTTGAAAAGGGAGGAATAGACCCAGAAAGCTGCCTATTATTTAAACTCCACTGTCTGATATTCAAAATCTGATCTCTTGATATGAAATTCACAGAAAGTCACAGAAAATAAAAGAAAACATCAGAATTACTGGAGAGCATTTCACTGAGGCTGCCATCAGTGGTGCCATCTTTAATGGAACAATAAGATTTTTCTTTAGGCTCTTTGTCCTACCTTATGATTTCTTCTGAAGCTCTTTCTACATCAACTTTTAATGTCTTCTTTGAACATTATCTCTATCCTGACTTGGGTTTTATCTTAGATAAGGTAGCATCAGCAACTTTTTCAGATGCTCAGATTCATTAGGCTGTTATTTTAAGAGAAGAGATGTCATAGAACCTAGTATGTAGCACACTTCTTTGAAAACATCAGAATCTTGTGTGGAAATATTAATCTCCTGTGAAATGTTGGCATTTATGTCTGAACTTTTGCAAATTATGTGAAAACACCAACATCTCATGAGATTTGATGATTTCATGAGTTTACAATATATTTTTAAATTTTTAATGTCCATCACTATAATTAAAGAGAGCTGTGTCTTGCTGCCTATGTGCATCATGGTGCAGATCCCAGCTGATTCTTCTATTTAAATTCTACTTCATCTTGATAGGATATCCATCATGGCAATGGAACCCAACAGGCATTCTATAGCGATCCCAGTGTTCTATATATTTCCCTCCATCGCTATGATAATGGAAATTTCTTCCCAGGCAGTGGAGCTCCTGAAGAGGTATGTGTATTCCTTTAATTTTTTTTAATCTGATTTGTATAACAAGAGATGTTAAAGCTGGAACAAGCTTGGAGTCTAGATTAAAAAACTGAAATATTTTTAATCCCAAAATATTTCAGAAATATGAGCAGAGAAATAAAACACCTTGAATTGGATTCCAATTGTTTGCTTCAGTGGAGAAAAACACAAGAAGGAAAAAAGCAGAGTGTAAAGAGAAGTAAATAAGTATTGAAAAAAATTCAAGGCAAGCCTCCTCTATTCATACTATATGGCTTTGTAGTAGATAGAGGAATTGCAGAAAAAAAAAATAAGAGGCATGTCCAGTAGAAGCTTTGAATCCAAAAAGAGAGAACAAAGTCATTGATTTGTCCCTTGTTATGAAGATGCCATTTTATATGGACAGAACTTTTGCACTCCATGTGAAGCTTGGAAAGAAAAATGGCTGGCAGTTTGCCACTGATTGGGTTGTATTTCCAGAACAAATATTAATAGGAAATAGATCTACCATGCATTTCTTTACACGCAAAAAATGGGGATGCTCTTTCCAAATTGTATCGGTCACAGCATAAACATAATTCATGAAGATGGAATATACTAAAAGGATGGAATTCCAGGAGGAGTAAGAGGCAACTTGGTGCAGATGTTATATGTGAGAGAAAGGAGAATACAGCCTCTTCCTAATAATTTTCAGAGTATATGTAGATGGAATTAGTAGAGTCCTCAGTCTGGCAAGATTTTTGTCTATATCTATGAAACAATAACTCAACTTGAAAGAATCGCTATGTGTTATTCTTGGTTTGGGGACTGACACATTGGTCTCAATTAATAAGCATCTCTGATATTGTATACAATGAAGTGTGAGAGAGAAAGAACATTGTTTATGTAAAAAACAGATGTTTAAAAATTATGTACCCTTTGAGAAATTACATACGAAGTGTAATTTGGGAAACTATGTACAAAAACATATGTATTTGAATAAGTTGTGAGTGAATTGCAAATTTTTAGATGTCCTTATCTTTATTATTTTTTATAAATAACTCAGAGTGTGAACATATTAATACTCCTTCCTCCTCTTAATTTTTGTACACTAACAATCCTTGTGAGATGAGTTAGGCTGAGAGAATATAACTGGCCCAAAGTCATCCAACTGTCTTCCATACTTAAGGTGGGACTCAGTTTCCTGATTTCTAGCCTAATGCCTTATCCACTAGACGGTTTTTAAAAAATAGTTTATATAAAATATGCCATAACTCTTTGATACTTAAATGCTTGTAACATTTACCCAAGCCAAATTTATACCGATCTGCCCACCCATTGCCATACTTTGAGATTAATCAGCAATTCTCCAGAGAAGTCCTGGTCCTCACTTGAATCTGGTAACATGTTGCTCCCCTCATTGGGATTTATTCTTATATATTTTTCTTCCCATATCTTGGCAGCTCTCAGCATGGTAAACCCTATGGCTGAGGGCTTTGGTTATCCACCATGTTTTCTTTCTTCCAGGTTGGCAGTGGGATGGGTGTAGGTTACAATGTAAACATTGCCTGGACTGGTGGAGTAGATCCCCCTATTGGTGATGTGGAATATCTGACAGCCTTCAGGTATGTTTGCTATTCACAGTAAATAAGAATACGTAAAGCTCCGTGGCCCAACAAGGAATGTTTTGGTAAGCCCAGAACATTGTTTTTCTTCTGGAAAATGCTAAGGGGTGGCTTGTCATTTTCAAAGTAAAGGTTACATGATGACAATAGTCAACACTGTCAAATGTATTCCTTTCTCTTTTCCTTTGTGGCAAAATTCTAGGAAGCAAAATTTTCTTAGGTACTTAACAACTGGGATAGTCTAAGACTTTTCCTAATGAGATAAAAATAAGATGGCTCTCCTTTTCACTTCAGCTCTGACAATGGGACGATTATGTTTGAAGATCGCTACATTAGAGCAACTAAGACAGGCTTCCCATAGCTTTCTCCGTCCATGTTCTGTTGCCACTTCTTAGCATTTGATGCTTGAGATGGCCTCTGCTTATTGGTATTGCAGGCCTCATAAAGACTTTTATGTGGAGCTTTGGTTTATTCATGTTATGCTCATATTATGCTATAAAAGGTGTTTCCGGGACACAAAATTTGCTTGTTTGTTTTATTTCAGCAGACTAACATAGTTCCCACTCTAAAAATTGTTGAGTACAATTAGGAGAAACCTTCTAAATAGCCCATGATTGTTCTTCATCTCTGATTCCTAATTTCTAGCATTCAAGACCAAAACCCAGACTGATAATGCACTGTGGAAGTTAAAATTCCAAATGATGCCAAGTTGAGGAAGGCTTATCTACAAATATGTGGCCACTTTAATTAAGTGCATTGGAGAAAGTTACAAAGACTCAGATGGAAAAGCTGAAATGGCTGGAATTTTCCTAATCCATACATTCCAATTAATCCAGAGTTAATGCTGTCCTGCCTCCTCTTCTTAAGAGAAATCTGAGAGCTGTTTTGTGTCCTCCAGGACTGTGGTGATGCCTATAGCCCACGAGTTCTCCCCAGATATGGTCCTTGTTTCTGCTGGCTTCGATGCTGTTGAGGGTCACTTGTCCCCGTTGGGTGGATATTCCGTCACAGCCAAATGTGAGTGTGAGGAACGTGGGGGAGGGTCCCTTTATAAATTTAGTTTATAAATAGGAAAAACTATTCACAGACTAGTTGGGAAAGATATGAATAGATATCCCAGTTAACTTTTACTATGGAGCTAAAGTAGCTAAAGTAGTTTGCTTAAGATTCTAGTGTCTCCATAGGTTTCCTAACCTTAGCAAAAGGCATATGTCAAGTTAGAATTTCAAAACCAGTATGACTATAGGAGAATGTCTTATTGATAGTAATTCAGCTATTTACTGTTAACAAGTAATAGCTTTTCTGACATGCCTTTCCCAGCCTTATTAATTGGAGTGCCAAGAAAAGCTTGTATACTGTGTTGCTGAGCTGTAGTCTCTCCATGTGTTTAAATGATGCCACAATAGTTGGAGTGCAGATTTTTCCATGGAGATCAAAAGATCAAGGAAGTAGAGATAAATGAAGTGTATATCTCATACAAGCATGATTAAAAACACAGATCCCTGATGGTCCCAGGTAGTGGCTTAAAGACTATTTAGCTACTTTCAGGTTCCAAGTAGCTTGATCACTGTTTTCATAAATGTTGAAGATACTATTTTTCATCACAATAGATATCCATGACTTTCTTCAATTTCTAGCAAGGAGCAATGTAAAAGCTAACACAGAACTCACTAATTCATATATCTTTTTTGATCATGTAGGTTTTGGGCACCTGACCAAACAACTGATGGATCTGGCAGATGGGCGTGTTGTCTTAGCTTTAGAAGGTGGTCATGATCTGACTGCCATCTGTGATGCCTCTGAAGCCTGTGTCTCTGCCTTGCTTGGCCTTGAGGTGAGTAAAAGTAACACATAAAAGTATGTGCTGGAAAAGTCTCAATCAGGCTTGGAATGGAAACATCAAAATATGTTTATTTATCTATTCCCACTTTATTATTTTTACAAATAACTCAAAGTGGTGACCATATCCAATGCATCTTCCTCCTCCTATTTTCCCAACAACCCTGTGAGGTGCATTAGGCTGAGAGTGTGTGACTGGCCCAAAGTCACCCAGTCAGCGTTCATGGTTAAGGCACAACATGAACTCCCAGGGTCCTGCTTTCTAGCCTGGTGCCTTAACTGACTCTAGTGATTAATCATTGTCTAGATTCGACAATGGTTGGCTGTGATTTTATCCATGCTTTTGAAAAGAGAACTGGCATTCAATAGGGTAGAGTAGTAGATGGGAAAGGTGTATAAAAGTATAACTTCCCTGACACATTAATGCATGTCAATATCTATTAAGAGTACATTTTAAAATTTAACTATTTAATTTATAACACACCTTTCTATTTAAGCAAAGGTAGCTAAATATTACAAGAATAATTTAAAAGTATTGAAATCAAGACAAAAATTAATTGTTAAAGCCTTGCAAAAAGGCATCATCTTTACAAATATTCTTTACAAATAAACACTGAGTGGGTATAGGCCTTGTGTGCCAGTAAGTAAGTCTCTAATAAGATATTTAAAAAGGACTATCCTTTAGGAAAAGACATGTCTCTAACAAGAAGGCATTCACATAGTTGACTCATGACATCTTTAGTAGTGTCTGCACAAGGCTCATCCTGAAATTGACAAAATACCTATTTTTGTGTATAGGAAATTGATCAATATATATAACAAGTCCTCTAATAATCAGAGTTAGAGAAAAAAATGAGTCGTGAAAATGGATAGAAGAGAAAATGCAGATCTCTTTTAGGGTTTATGAGATATAAACATAAAAATATCAAATTTCTTGAAGCATAGAAGTTATGGGGGGAAGAGATATTAAAGCAATATCAAATGGGACCCTGAGGACTAAGGTCTACCATAAACCCACACACACTGACAGGATTTTGCATTACCACAGCAATCATCCAGTGGTCCACAAGGTTAGCTGTGTTAGAACTCTCTTTAAGAGAGTTGACTCCCACTGCAACACAGCCAAGGCTAGAATGGAAGAAAGAAAACATCTCTTCCATGTCTGTAGGCTCAACGGATATCCGACCAAGTTTATCAAGCGCCATGGTGCACTCTCCAGCCCCCCCAATAGTCTACAGACTGGGGTCCCTCCAACACAGACGGCACGTGTCACCCTCCCATATGTCAATAACGTCTCGGAGGCCACAGCTAGGCTGTTGGCACCCCACAATGTGAGGGTGGCACACAAGCCCAACCGGACGTTGCGATCATGCATTATGAGGCCTAAGGACCCACTCCCCGCGATGGAGAAATCTGGAGTTATATATAAAATCAACTGTAATGATTGCTCCAGCAATTATGTGGGTAAGACCTCAAAGAGGATCAAAAGAAGGATCCACGAACACAAACTGGCCATAAAAAGAGGGGAGCAATATTCCCAGATTGCAACGCACATGATAGAGTCTGGACATAAATTTGACTTCGATGGTGTGAAAGTGGTTGCTAATGACAGCACAAAAAGTGGCAGACTGCTCAAGGAGGCTTGGCTCTCGGGGGAAGAGTCAATTAATCGACATATAGACCTACGCCCAATATATTCAACGTTAAGGACGTGGGAAGCGCACACCCGACCAACATGGAGTAGGCGACCCAATAACAGCGATTCTATTCCCCCGCCTGAGAGAACCGGCATCCGAGAAAATGATGCCTTACGATCTGAGAGTCCCCTGCCCATGAGGACAGAGACGCACCTGCCACGTATGAAAAAGCCCACTAGAATCAAGGATCTAACTACTGTCAACCTAGACACCCCCCCGGTCGTATGGAGTGTTTGGAGGAGAAGACATTATGCGCGCCAAATGGAGCACAACGCAACTACCATTCGAAAAACCGTAAAAATTCCCCCCCACCCTCGTAGAGGCGTCCACAGCTATGGATTCACATGCTTGTGTGTTGGAAGCATGCTCGTGCCCATGGAGAACGGCAAAGATATTGAATGACGGAGGAACGACAACATATGAGCTGAGACCCCCACTATACCTGACACACCCGGCGCACTTAAAGAGAGCCGCATCCCCCGGGAGCGTTCTAGGAGAGAGCAACGGCAAGCCCGCCACCTCAAGAATGATTACACGCTCCCGAGGAACGGAGCAACGAACGAAAGGTAATGAAAGTAAAACTATTGAGTTAAGGTCCGCACTGAGCCCCGCGGGGGGAACGGCGAGAGACACCGTCTGGACGAGGCGTTGCAGCAACCACCTCTGAGGACGCTTGCTGCTCCGGCGATCGGACGGCAGGAGCTGCGGAGTAGCCCCTGTAATGGATTAGGGATCACCAAAAAGGGGAGGGTAGATATGGTAAAGCATGATGATAGTGGGAACTACAGGAAGATAGGCCGGGAAAAGGGAGTCAGGTAGTGAGAGTGTTCATAGGATATCTAGGATAGAATCCCGGAACATGGATCACTGGAATGTTGACGGAGGCCAAAAAGGTGGGGAGGGGAGAGCCCTGTTCATTTAGAACATCCTGAGGAAAAGGAGAGGGGGAAACAATCTGAAGACGGCAAGTGTAAGCTGAACTGGAGCGAGATAATACGCCCCTCCGAGTTACGGACAAGGAGAAAAGAGGGAGGGGGAACAAACGCTAATACCCGCACTGACAAGGGAAATGAGAACGGAGGTCAAAAAGGTGGGGGGGAGGTCCGTTCATTTAGAACGCCCTAAGGAAGAGGGGAGGGGGAAACAATCTGAAGACAGCAAATATAGGCTGGATTGGAGCAAGATCAAATGCCCCTCCGGGCTGCGGACACGGAGAGGTCGGGGAATAAACGCTGACACCCGTACCAACAAGGGAAATGAGGACAAATTAGCCAGCTGTGTGGGGGTTACGATGGATGCAATGATTGGTCAGCCAGGACCGGTTACAAGGTCGAAAAGA